TAATTATCTTGCCGAACATCTGTCACTAAGATCGTTATCTGTCAATCAATTTCGCGCGTGTGTAACTCCTGGGAAAATTAACGGGAAAACATTCGTGTTTTGCTCCGTCTCAAAACAAAGTGAAGTGGACCGCGAGCCTAATTGTCGATTTGAAAAAAATCGTTGATCTCCGGTAAGAGAATTAATACGGTGCCGGTCGTTGGCGTTTCAAGAAATAAGACCTTGCTGGTTAACAGTGGCCAAGACAGCGTTGTACTAGCGCAAGCATTTGATTGCTCAAGGTTTCCTCTTGTGCAAGGAGAAAGCTTTTCCGATTTAAGCTGCTTAACTTGTGCTCATCGCGCCGTTCGTCTTGCTAGTTCAGTTCCTAATTCAACAAGCCCCTGCAATGAGCGAACTTGGAATGCGAAAGGTACAGATACTATCATGACTTCTCCAGAACGTGAACCTCCAAAGACAAGTACAAAGAAATCAACAGCGCTTCGATCGCCGACAGGAATTACACCTTTGGGTATTTATCCCGCATTTATAGCAATAAAAGAGGGCGGTAGGCCTACACGGCGTTTACCTCACGCCAAAATGCTGCCTGTTCCCATAAGTTTTTTCCTCTGCTCGGTAGATTATGCTCTGGAAGGTTCTACATTTTCACTAAGCAAATATGGTTTTAGCCGCTTGTTTCACACTGAGAGGTCATGGCATACATATCGATTTACTGTGGTTTTTGTCTCTGGTCGGCAGGATTTGCCCTCTCTGAAGCAAGAGCATTTTCTTTGACCTCTTTTGAAGCGTAAAGCTTTTTATTGCGGCTGAATAAGGGTCGTACTTTTCTCCAAAGTGCCTTCTGGATCTGAATAACTAAGCGATTTTCTTTAGTCCGTAAATGTAATGTTTTTCTGAAATGTTGTATCACGCTGGGCCCAGGTCGTTAGTTTTCTTTGCAGAATGTTTAAAATGATCACGGATAGTAATTTACAGATCCAAAGTTATAAGATTCAAGTGCAGCTTAAACCGAAGCTTCATCAACTATGGAGAATTGCATTTTGACTCGGTAAACTCCAGCCTAGTGTTTTTCTATCCATTAGATAGTGTGAGTCTTTTGACTGGAGCTCGTACTAGTCCTCCCTTGGTAATAGCTTTTGAACAAGCTTAACAGTCTTTGGAGTGTTTTGTTATTTCCAAACGCGTGTTACGTGCCGACCGAAAATCCCATGACAATCAGACCTGTCAACAGTCAGTGTTCTCGCCAATAAGAACTTGCATCAGGATCTGATGCACAATGATACTACTGTTTTAGAAGTCCTACTACATAACTCCTTTAGCATTTGGAATTTGGCTGTTAGAGACACAATTTTTGTATTGGTCATAAGATGAAGTTAAATCCCCTGAAGTGTAAAGAAATGCTTGTAAATTTCATGAAATATCCTAATAATATCATACAGCCTATTTGCATCATGTGGAAACCACCAGTTGGAGCGTGTTTCGACCTTTAAATTACTTGCTGTAAAAATTAGGCACGATCTTAACTGGAGCGACCACATTGATTATATTTATAGTAAAGCCGCCAAACGATTGTATACCTTAAGGGTGCAAAAAAGAGCTGGTGTAGCTGGCAGCAATATTATCAATATTTGTAAGTGCTTCGTCAGATCTATACTTGAACATGCTGTCCCGGCATGGCAAGATATTCCAGAGTACGTTATAGAATCTATACAAAAACGAGCCCTTAAGATTGTTTTCCCAGACTATAGTAATCATGAAGCTTTGTCCTTCTCCTGCCTTGAGAGTGTTGAGAAAAGACGACTTGCTATAACTCTCAAGTTCATCTCTGCGTGGAGGTTACACACTTGTCATGACGTTATTAGTGTACCATATGATCTTAGATCTGGTCATGCATGAAAAGTCTTTTCGGCCCTTACACTAGAACCAACAGAACGAATGATTCTGTCCTTAAATTTTTAGACTAGTTTCATAATATTTTTCTTATAGTTTTACCACCTGACAATTCAGTTGCATTTTGCTGCAAAGAGTGGAATAAACTTTTTTTTTAATATATTTATACTTTGTGGGCTTTGATCGAAAAAATAACTCCTGCAAAAAAGGCTGTGTCTGTTTTTGTCTTTCATGAAAGTGAAGGGAAAAAAAAACAGGTCCCATCCAGTTGATGAAAAGAACGACGTCTCAGCAAAGCCGAATAATTCCAGCCATAAATCATGTATATTGGCATTTAATATGTCATGGCATCGCCCAAGAAAGTACTTATAGAGTTTTATATTGCATTATATTAACTTCTGCGCGGATAGTTTTATTTTTGAACACTATTTTTGTTCGACACTATTTTTTCCAATATCTTGAGCTGCCGTGGTTCTGTTCTGGTGCTTTACATGGCGGTGCTTTCTTTCACTAAGGTTGAAATGTGACTGTGTAGTATACAGGGCTGGTTTTCTTCTCAGTCACGTAAAAAAGGAAAATAAGAGGTTCGGCGATCGCAGCAACAGGTTCTTCAAAGATCGTCGCGATCAGCGTATCATTTGCAAACCAGCTGACTATGCTGCTGGCCCAACTAATGAGGAATGAGACCGCTTACGCTTGAGTGCTCCTCACGCTCAATCGCACCATTCCCCGTGGGGTACTTCCTTATATAAGCCACATAGGTACAGGAAAACCCTCTTTAATATGGATATCTCTTTAGCACGGACAGTTGGCTTTGTCCTTGGGGAAAGAAAACCCTTAACTTTTCTCTATACTTACACTTTCTATGGTCCCCTCAGTGTCCGTATTATTGGAGTATGGTTTTTCCACCCCTACCATGAATTCTCAGGAGTACCCCCCGGACACCATTCTAACGATGTCTCTGGATTTGAACTTTTCACCCTCGGAAAAAAAAGGTTATTAACAGTGAGAATAAAAAAAAATGTTTTGGCAATGTTTTGATAGAAAAACCTCTTGCTGAGAATATTATCAAAGTTAATAATCTTTGCCCTTTATAATTACTAGTTGCGCTCTTTATAATCCGTGAGCTAGCATAACGAAGCGTATTACTCTACACAGCGTGTCGCCAAGTATTTTCGTCGTTGCCTCGATGAATCGAGTGACTACTATTCCAACTTACAGTTATTCCGATGGCCTTGTGCTGATATTTTATTTATAGCAGGGTTTTATTTCTAAACAGCGAATATAATTAAGAGCGTGTAATTTCCTTTTCAAGCTACTTTCGTGGGAGTGTGTAGGGTGGGGCAAACTACCTCTGATTTCTCGCGTATTTCCTTCGCTGAAACCAGTAACCAACTGTTTTCCTGCTTTGTATTCTTCTTTCTTTTTTTAGCATCCTTCTGGTATGAAAAAAGCTAAATGTCCCTATTTAAAACGAGTCATTCAACTTTTTATTCCTAGTGGCAGTTCATGCCTGAGGCATTTCAAATCCATGAGGTAGTTCAGGTTAATTTCGTGGTGTCCATAGGTGCAGCTGCTGTGCTAAGTATTTACAAGAAAAGTTTTATTCTTGTATTTTAAAAAGACTCTGAGGTTTTCATTTTCCTCGCTACTGAGGAACCAGTGCATCTGTGCTTTGTTCACGGCAAGTATAAACTTAAATCGACGTCAGCAGATTAGTATGTTATAAACCTGACCGTGAGAAAAGGGTTGACGGCCGAACACAAATGGCTCAGGCAAAGAAATGTCACAAAGAAATACAACTATGATTTAGAAAAATAACTTGTGCAACTTTAATTTCTCTTTTACAAATTCCACTATAATCCAACTATAATTAAGAGATATTTATGTATGTATACCGAGCTCCTATATATTTCACCACTTGGTACAAGTAATTCCAGTGAAAGTCTATTCATTGTTAATACAGTGCACAGCACAAGTACAATTTAGTCTGTCCTCAGACATTAAAGATTAAATGTTGACCAAAGTGGTCATTAATTCCGCTTTGGTTGAAACACGGGTGTCCAAAACTTTTAAACACGAGGTTGGCTAGTCGCTTGGACAAGTTTTAAAAGTTTAAACAAATTATTTTAAATTAAACCCAATCAAACAGGCACAATCATCTCGTCATAAAACAATGCAGAGCTGGTGTAATTCTCGTGTTCTTTAGGAATTGAGGAAATATTTGAACACTCGTAGATTCAATCTATTGCGTTTGAAGCTAATTTATATCTTGTCTACCTCGTGTGCGCTTGCTCTTTGCCCTTAACTGTCTCTAAAGCTACAAAATTCTCGAGTTTAATTACCAACTCCATTTTATTTGCGTTGTGGTAAGTTCGACAGACTCTGTCCGTACTTATTCCAGCTTCATAAACTCGAAGTTTTTATGACATGAATACGCTTGGCTTTGCAAGCAGCTCACCCATTATAATTATTATTATTATTATTATTTTTGTAACCAAAAAACCTCATCTTCATCTTGTAAGAGTATAAGGTAATAAAATTGGTGCTAACTATTTCTTTGCCTATTAATGGCGTTTTTTTCGCTGTGATAAACAACATTGAAACATGCAAATTCTTCTGTACTTTCTCACATTTCTTAAATCTCTCTCTGGTGGTTTATTGTTAGTTTTTTCTTGATGTGCACCGACATAATTGAAGTTTATCATGGGTAAATTGCGTATTCAGAATATGCATATTTCAAGCTGGCCTCAAGCCAATGACCTCAATCAAAAAAACGCGGCCCTACCAATAACAGCACCTCAGCTACTAACTAACATCTAAAGACGCATTAAACGATTAAGATCACGAAACCCGACTTTTTCCATTTGATGGACATTTCGAGTGGCTGTGTGGCGCAGCCAAAATTCCTTCCAATTCGAAACTTTCAATCTTATTGCTTTACTAAAACAAAGCCATCTTACAACTAACCAACTGAGCATGCGATCAATACTGTAACGAAAACACTCTCGAGTGAGCGATCCTATATACAATTTTTTCCGTTATGGATGTAAAAAATATTGCTGTAAAGGAGAACAGCGAATTCTAAAGCGTTTAAATCTACGCTTATACCGCTACAAAATTATTCAGAACTGTTTTAAAACAGCTAGAAATTGCTTACGTTATTGACCTCCAATTGAGGGGTAAAATACAACTACCCGGCAGGGTACAAATAACCCTGCTTGCTATTTTCACTTAGGAAAAGAATCAATTTGTCGACAAACAATGCTGTCCTACTTAACATGATTGAGCTAATTCTATGTACATATAAAGCCAAGCTTATAATACTTTTTTTTACAAAAAAATAGACTTGGATTTCTTGGCGTCTTAACTATCCTAAAAACCTTTGACTAAACTAAACCACTAGGTATCGTATATAATGCCAAAATCTTTAGCTTACACTGTCTCATTCCATTGTAATGAACGTTATGATTGGATCAGAGTAAATCTGAGTTAGTTCACGTGCCCGTAAATGTTCGACAAACTCACGGAGTTGTTAACAAAAGGTACCGGGCTCGGGTAGGGCGCTATCTCTGGTAAACTCATGAGATAGGTGCTAAGCTGCTGAGCAGTCGCCACATTTCCTCTTGAAAGGGCCTGCAGGAAAGGCAATAAAAGAGCTGTAGTCAATTAGTGCGCGCGGCAGGTCACCAACATAAAACACAGTACTATTTTCAATTCCATGGCCACAAAAAGCCTTCATTTGCGACTTTATTATCATTCATAATTTGCTGTTCCGCTTGGTTTGTCTTAAATAAAGCGTTAAGTGAAAGGTAATCATTTTGGAGCTTGCGCGCCGAATGAGAGCGCGCGAGTTGCCCACTAATAGAAATCAAGCTCTGAATGTCGTATTTGTTTTAAAGCGGGGCACGTGTGCCTGAAATTGGCTTCAATAAAAATGGCAAAGTATCTATCGTTTCGAGTTCACGTTTTACCCCAAGGTCATGAAATCCACTTAATTCTGTAGCTCCGGAGCGAAGCGCGTGGCGTGTGAATGTAGCTTGGGAGTTAATTCGGCTTGATTCCGTAGTTAGAGGAGTAACTTGAGCTTGGTTCGAGACACGAGTGTAAATTTGATTACTTTTTCAAGAAGCAAATTAACAGGTTTTGATGGCCTGTCACCAAGATAAAGACTGCGGTGTGCGCCAGTGATCATTTTGCAAATGAACCCCAACGCAAGAAAACACTGATCGTGCGCTCCTAAAACCAGCGGCGTTAGCAAGCCTTTCATTTTTCTCGTCTTCACGTAACTTCTTACATTCTTTCGAACTTAGCAAATTTCAAAGGTGTAAATAAAGTATCACAAACGTTGTAGTTACCTGTAAGTCGTAAGTTCCCTGAAGCCATCCTACTTGACGCAGTAGACGCGTTTCCCTTTCAAGTCTGTTACTTTCATTTAACACTCGCTGGAGGTGTTTAATGTACTCGATGGCTGTTCGCAGCGTTTCCACCTTGGACAGCTTCTTGTTGGCTGGTGTGGTTGGAATGTGCTTGCGCAAGGCAGCAAAACCATCGCTGACCAGTTTAACTCTGTTCCTCTCCCTCTCATTCCTTCTCAGTATCGAAGCGTGCTCTTTCTTAAGGCATTGAGGTGTACGGCAGCGTGTACGATGTCGAGAAGCCTTAGGGCTGGAGCTGGGAGAGCTGCATTCGCTGCTAGGAGCTGGTGACAGGGACGATGTTGGGGAATTCACAGGCGAGGTGGACGGAGAGTCCAAATGCGAGCAATCAGACGAGGAGGGCGACGGCGTGTCATAGCCGAGCTCTAGCAAGTCAAGATCGTCGAGGTTTAGGAGCGGGAAAGTGGTGTCTTGAGGATCGAAGTTAAACTCCATGAGTGTTGCGCAGGGCGGTGACTAGCTCACAGCGCGCCGCAGTCCCTCGCTCTCTCTATCATACACAGACTCGTCTCGTCTCGCTCCGCGCTGCACAAGTGCGTGCAAATACTATATTACATGAGACGCGTGGCGGAGCCTATAAAGCGGTTTGTTTTGTTCCTTAGGGACTTCACGCTTGGTTGTTGGGCAGACTTAGTGTGTGGGAGGGGCTTTGAAGACATTTAGCACAATGACACGTTAGGCAAACTAACGGCATTGAATGGTCTATGGCCTGTTTTTGTGCCTTTAATCTTCATATGAAAGGAAGGAATTGTCTTGAGATCCTTTGTGCGTGCCCTACGCGTGGCTTCGATTATAATTAGTTGGCGAGTACAATAGTGGTGCGTGCTGTCATCAAATCCATAGAAATCTCTAACAAAGTCAACAAGCGATTCTTGGTGTCGTTTCTATGTGCCGATCAATAGCGAGCAGGGCCTTTGTTTAATCCACGTGCCTCATTTCTCAGCTCTCTGCAGCTAATATTCCAGCTCGGAGCAAACATTTGCAAATCCCAGTGCAGCTAATAGGCGGCGAGTCCAACGCACCGCACGGAACCTTGTAACAATCGAAAAAAATGTTCTCTATTTCGCACTCTTGTGCAGAATGCCTCATTCGTAATGAGCTAAATAAAGATAGAGCTGCGTCAATTTTATCCTTAATGCCTGCTTTGTGATTTTTAAGGCTAACAGCATTTCGCTGCTGCACGGTCTCCAAGGTGAAGGCCGAAGTATGCCTGGTATCTAGTTAATAAAAATGTTATCTTCTTAAAATGGTTGTAACCTTGCGCTCAGGAAAGAATATATTTAGAAAATCTGTTAGCTCGATAAATGTTTACCATGCAAATCCTTCTTTTTTTTCTTTTCCCGTCCTGGTGCGAGCATTTATTTGTTCTTTTAAATCGCCGGCAGTTTTAGTTTTAGATGTTCATTCCCGCCTTTTACTTCCTGTGCGGTCTTTCTCTTTTCTTCGTGCAAAATAATTTTTTCAAAGGTTCCTGTGCTTGTTCCGTTTTCCTTTTCAACAACCGCTCGTTTGCAGGGAGTTTAAGCATTTGACGACATTCCTTCACTGTCATTTGCTCTCCGCTGCAAAGTAATGAGACACAAAACTGCTTTATTTTAGTGACAAATATTTGCTTTACAAAGAATTCCTAATTCTCCTAGGGCGCACTTCACGGTACAGCTTATCAAGCCAATTTCTATGGTGGCACGCGAGTGCATGTTGTAAAATCAGGTGCCAGTAAGACGCCTGTCTAGCAGCCAATTTAGATCGCAGAGCTGATAAGATCGTTTAGTTTATCTCAATTATTAGGTAGTGAGGTGTCTTTAAAGTGGCAAGCGAAGCGTGCCGCGTTAAACTAATTACTGTCACCGCATGTTTAGAATGCAATTTTCGTTCCAATTCGGAGGACATTTTTCCTTGATTTCTTCACGCCTTTTGGTGTAGATTGCACTATCCTTGATTGGCTATTTCATTTTTCTTTTCTTTTTTTCTTTTTATACAAGCAAACAGTTCTTTTGGAGGGTTGATATTGATAAAACTTCCCACACGCGCTCGGCGCGTGCCTAAAAGTTTGTCGACGGTAAATGACACCACCTCTGATTAACATTATTTTTGGATTTACACAGTGGTCTGCGGACGCGGATATTGGTGAGCTTTCAGTTTCCTGTCCTCGCTTTGTGCGTAGATACCTTTTCGTTCCTCTTGGAAACGCTACCGTTGTGGAACTAGCAAAAAGCCTAACATCGCATGGAGTTTTTTTTTTATCCAGAGTTAAGGTTAATACTTGCTTGAACCTTCTTCCCACCAAAGAGCCGAGAAGTAAATTTGTAGTTGACGAGGTCAATTTGAGTGGTGACATCGCAAGATTTTATCCAGAGTCCCCTAACTTAGACTATCAATTCTTCAATCCCGATGTACTTAGCTGGCAACAATTTATTATTTTTCCCTTGTGTTTTTTCGTAATATTAAGAGTCTTCATAATTTTAACGTAACAGCGGATACACAGTTACAATGGCTTGAAGCCCCCACACTTAGTGAGGCGCGTGCTTGATCGCTCGATTGCTTTAATTCGCGTGGCGGGTTTCCACGTAACAACAAGGCACGCAGCTTTAACTGCCCTTGAAAAGCACTTCAGGCCTTTCTGCCTTCAGCAGTTAATGGCTCTTTGCTGGCGAACAGGATGCGGTGTTTCCGTTTGATTGATTGCTATTTACACAGAGAAAAACGCTTTAACCTTGTTCTTCTTGCAAGAGCTCAAAGTTCAAAACGTATCGACGAAAAAAAAAAGAAGAAAATTAATGAAAAATAATTTAACTGGAGCCAATTTTTGCTGATTGCTATACAACCTAATAATAGTATTATTTTAATGTTAACCGTGTGCGATTTAATTGTTGTACCCTCTAAAAGCTGACTCACTTTAATATCTGTATCATGGAGAGTCAAAATTGATTAATGGGGCTTCTAATGTCAAAAAAAGTATCTCATTAGCATCATCCGTTTTGCTATCTTGATTCACCCAATAATTAAGACGAAAACAGATTCTATTTTCTGTGTTTAGGGTTCAGGGTATTTTGGGTATTGAAGGGCAAGGGAGCTGTTCCTTAATCATTTCTACTGTAACATATACAACAGTCATATGAAGGCTTAAATTGAGTGCTTCTCTAGTACTCTTTAAAGCGTCTCGCGTGCAATGCATTAAGCGATATTGGGTTTGATAAAAAGCTTGTTTATATCTGATCATACGCTTTGTCGGTTCTTGACATAAGAGTACAGATAATCATCAAGTGCCAGAGTGGTAATTGCTAATTAATATCAAACTTTGAATGTCTCTGTATGCAAAGTTAGTTGTATCACATATTATTTGGTAATATTGTACAAACGTTTCAGTTTCGTAACCTCATATGATGAAATTAGCGTCACTGCTACGGCCCAAGTTCTGAAATCCCCTGGCAAAGAAACTTCGCCAGATAAACTCATGATTCAGTTTATACTGTTGTTATCATTATATCGTTTGCAAGAACAATATAGTGTAGTCTCTTTTCGTGAAAAGTTTAAACTTAGAATCAGTGCTACGGAGAAATGTTTAACTTAACCATCGCTTCGGTCTTGAGCGTTTTGCAGGCTTTTTTCAAGGAGAAACAACAGGAATTCAATGTCTTCTTGTCAGGATCCCGCAATTTCTTCAAACGAACACTTACTCAAAAGTTCAACAGTAATATCGTTTTCTACAGTGTCAGTTGCAAACGGAAGAACTAAAAGTTTTTGTCCACTCGCTCAGAAAGTGAAAAGCTTAAAATTCGTGACTAAACTGGAAAGGAAAAGGTCATCTGTGACGGAGAAGTCAGTCTTTGCTGGATCAGCTGAAAGTTCAGTTGTATTCAAAACTTTACTTGTGTACTTCTTTGGCATGAGATATTAACTCGTCGCAGAGTATGATAAATATCGGGTTACTAAAATAGCCTTAAATTCATTTTGCAAGCGGGCAAGTTATAAGTGCTAGACACGCCGCCTAGGCTTGCCTACATGCCACTGCCGCGGGGCGGTACGGTAGTAGTGACTTGTCAAACAGTTATCTTTGCGTCTACATCAAATGCAAGTGCACAAATTAAAATTTGCAACTTGAATTACCCTCCTTTTCGTGTCCAGTTGTTATTAAAGTTCATCCTCAAATTATGCTTTCCTTTGTAATTTTCAATTATTAACGATTCTGGACATTCTGGCAGAGTTTTCTGGTTTGTAAAGTCGTGTATTGAAAAAGTAACCAATTGTTCGAACATTTGTGTTATTTTGATCATATCTCGGCTAAGGACGAAATAACTGTAGGTCCCGTCTCACAACACTTTCAATTATCTGGTTCTTGTGGGACTTAAGAGAACCCACACCACTGTTCGGAAAGAGTAGGAGACCTAGACCCCGGTGGTGTGGCCAACGTCTCCTGGGCTTAGTGAGTTATCTGTAAGGACAAACTTAAAGTGGAGCCCCGCTCTGTTGTTGTCTTCCACCATGGTGGACGTGCTAAAATAAATATCTTATATAGTCACTTTTGAGAGTATACGCTCGCGACACATGTAGAAAGTTACGTCTATTGTTGTTTGTTGTTGGTCATGCAATAGTAATTGAATAAATTCAGTGAAAGTTTTCTTTTTTTTTGCCTGGAGGCTTCATTAAAATCTTTGGTTAAAATTTTAACAAAGGTCATCGAGCTAAGGTTATCTCGGAAGAGAACTTGAACTTTTTTTAGAATATGCTAGCATCAAAAAGTACTTCGTTGTTTACGAAACTTGTTGCCTCGGGGCTGTTGCGGAGTTTTCTTCCACAAAAATGAATGAAAGAAAAGGGACGTCGAAGGGTTGTCCGACCCTTTTGTAACGAGCCCTCTTGCTATCCAGTAGAACTTGTGCTTCATAAAGGCTCCTTTTTAGACTAACGTTATCGAACTGAAGGGACACATTGAGCGATCACATACTTCCTGCTCTTACGGAAAACGTGCTCTAAAATTGCTCATTTGCATCAAAAAGACTCTTGCTCAAACTCGTCGGTTTTTATTAGCACCACTTAAATTTGATTTAAATTACTTTAGTTGAAAGAATACCGCGCGACTTGTAGACTAGCCTTTTCCAACGTTGTTCCGTGCGTTCAGATAATGGAGTGAGGGCAAAGAAAAGTGAGGCGGGAAAAAACAGCACGCCACTCTCCCGCTATCTGAATGCCTGAAACAGGCTGGCTGTAGATATTCTCCTTCGTTGTAGGTCGACGAGTGAATTTCTTACTTTATCATATCTGTAAAAACCATTGAAACCTCGAATATAAACAATTACAGCTTTTCAGGCCTTTTGATTTTCATCGGGAATCTCAAGAAACGGGCTACGGCAGGTAAAGGAAAGCATAAGATTTCGTTTACAAACTTATAGCATCCGCAGGAAATTCATATTCTTCTTCTTCAAGTGTGTAGAGGT